AGACAGATAGATTGGTACTCTGGGTAATGTGACACAACCCTGACAGATCCTGGATCCAGCTAATCAAACATTGAATTTTCATTCCATTATTTAATGAAATATAAAATACAAAACCAAACCAGGTGTGTAAAAGGCAGCGCGACCTCACCGTGTGCCACTGGTCGTCGTTGTACTTCTTGCGGCTGCGCAGGCTGACCTTCCTCTTTCCTCCGTCCAACAAAAGCAGCAGGTGGCCGTCTGACACGCTGAGTGACATCACGGCTCCACTGCGCTGCCCGCCAGCTGCGTAGAGCACCAAACCGTCCGAGGAGTTGATCCTCACCGCCATGGAGATGTGAGGCCTGCAGAGGGAGATTAAATATTAACTGACAATTAACATTTAAAGCCATTTTCAAAGCTGAAAAAGTAAATGACATTAATGGTAATGTTAACCGTGTTTGTAATCTTAGTTTAGCATGTTAGCATCCTGACTTTGCTGATTACCACTGAACAAAGTCAGCTGAGGCAGGAATGTTACTAATGCTGCAGCAGTGACAGTTTGTGTTGGCACTCACATTGAGCTGAGCGAGCGGGGCAGAGAGTCGTATCTCTGGTAGCTGTGCGTGGAGCCGCTGAAGTGCGTCGCTCCCGCCTCCTGGCTCGACAGCTCCCCCTGACAAGACTCCCTGGTGTTGCGACTGCGAGACCCCGACGGCTTCTTGTGCTTTCCCTGAGACAGTGGACATTTATTTTTTTACCAGGGTCAGATATGATATCTGCTGTTTCTGTTTGTACATCTTTGGTTTGTTTTCTTATTTTTGTGAAAAGCTGAATTTTGTGTGTGTGTGTGTGTCTGTACCTTGGGTTTGTTGCTGTGTTTGGGCTGGGCAGCGACAATTTGCTGAGGTTTTTTAGCGGCGGGACATTTCAGAGGTACGTTGACGTTTTCTTTAACTTTCAGCAGGTTCAAAACCATCTGAGGACTCTTTTCCCTGAAGACAAGAGACAGAGACACATTTTAAAGACATGAGCTCTCACATTTTCACCAACTACATTGCCACAGCTAATTACAGTTAAACCTGTAATTAGACTTCATTGAGTTAAAAGCTCTCTCTCGCTTATTAATTGACATACAATTATTTATCCTTTACATTAGCAGGTATCTTAGCTCCTACATAACCCTTCAGCATTTTTTTCTGATCCAGAAAAGTTATCCAGATTCAGAGCACATGTCAGCACTGGGCATATATGTGTGAGAGATGGAAAATATGGAATAAAATACACCTCTTGTGTTGATTGCAAACAAAGAATGTGTCGTGTGTGTGGCGGTAGATCTCATTGATGATTAAATTACATCAAACTTTTTGACTGAACTGTTAAGGGCTCTTCCTGTCTCTTCTCACCTCTTGATGAAAACATTGCTGAGACATCCTGTGAGATTAATGTTGTTTTGGTTCGGCATTCCTCCCAGGAAGGTTCCCTCTGTCGCCACACCACGCCCCCTTCTGTTCACTGGGTTCCCCGTATTGTCTTTCTCCAGCGTGTCGTCCATGTACAGACGCATCCTGAAGGGTGAGCAAACAGACAGTCAGCACACAGTTTAAACATACACCTGAGAGCTTTATGTGGCGTTTTATAGAACCTATCATCCTACCCGTTGTTGTTGTTGTAGATAGAGACGTAGTGGCTGTTGTCATCGTTGTACGTCTTCTGCGTTTTGATCTCACTGTTGCCAGCTCTCACCACGACATGGCCCCCTTGCAAGAACACCTGACACACTCCTTCCTGTACACACAACAGCCACAGGTAAGAGATGTGTGCGTGTGTGTGTATGAAACAACATGCAAGAAGCAAAGCAGGACCGAGGAAAACATCCCGGAAAATGCTTTCAAAACTTATTGAGCGAGAAAGACAGCTGCTCAGTCTAAAGAAACAATCAAATAAAGATAAAGGAAACAGGAAGAGTTGCGAGGCTGGTCTGACCTGATCATGGTGGTAGAACATGAGTCCCTCCTTCTGCTTGGTCCTGAAGCTGAAGCTGGTGTAGAAGTTGTTCCTGAGGCTGGGAATGTCGGTCAGATTCAAGTCCAGGTAGCTCTGACCGGAGAAATGAGCCTCACGAGCAACCTGCGTGAACACACACAGCAGGTCAGGACATACTGTACTGTAGTAGTGTGTGTATCTATGTTTTTATGTTTATTTTTGTTTCTACGTATCAGCTTGACTGTGGAATTAAAAGGAAAACTCTCCACATTTGGGGTCAATTTTGTTTAACTTTCTGAAGATTTATGTGATTATATTGATTTTAGGATTTCAAGAATGCCACATGAAAACACTGACTATTTATACTCTTTTACAATTTTAGGGGTTTTTGCAAAAGTAAAATCAAAGAGGATGAAAAAAGGGAAAAAAGAGAGTAAACAGCGTAATGTCGGCGTAGTGCTCTACAATGATAAAACAACTGACAGCAGCAAAGAAAATGATCAAAATTTCAGTTTGATAGGATAGTGTT